TTATCAATGGATGAGGATAATAATTTTGTGCCTAACCCATTTAAATGAATTCCATCTCTAGTATCAATATGTTCTTGAGTAAATTTGATTGCAATTATTTGGACCTGATCTTCCTTGTCTAATGCAATTAATTTTGTATTGAAATCTTCAATGTCTTTATTTAATTGCTGTTGAAGACTTGGTTTAAGACTAGGATCATATTGATATGGTAAAGTGCATAAAGCTAATGAGGCATCCGGTAATTTTTCTTTGAATGTTCTTATTAGACTTCTAATATTTTGAATAGCAGATTCTGGTGTAGTATGTTTAATATCGACCGATCCAGTTGAAATGATAACATGTTCAGAGTCTGTAAACTGCTTGTCTATTCTATTTGTTTTAACTAAGTTACTGATGTGGTTGATCAGAGCACCACCTTTAGTTCTTATTTTAATATTACAGAGTTTACCATTATAATTCATAGTACCTGGTAATAAATCACGAATAATGCTGCTGCCTGTGATCATAATAGGAACAGCTGAAGGTGGTAATTTAATTGACGATGGATGACTGTTTTGAAGAGGAAGAACTTTGGTGAAAGTATCTTCATTGGGTAATGGATTTGTTTCAGACATTGAAGTTGATGAGACTAATTGAGACTGTTGATTAGAAAAGACAACAGCGAGAGACAACAGCGCATTACTTTTTTGTTTGTGAACGATATAGTATTGTACGTGTCAGGTTACTGCAACAGCTAAACGAAATATTTTTAAGTTCTTCCATCACTATCAACCATCTTGTGTTTTAAGATTCCTCTCTTTGACAAATATCGATTACGGACTTGTTGAACTGTACAACGCCGTATGTGAGTTTGTTATGTGACAAACAGATTTGGGCATAAGTGATGATTTACTGTTTACTACAGTATTAGTGTTTCGCTCACCGCACATGACATCTTCCATCTTTCATTTTATGTTCTTCCTATTTACAAACACTTACTCCACTATATTTTAAATTTCTTTTTAAATTTTATTCATGTTTTTATCTTTTACGTTTTTTATCCTAATACATCTTCCTCTTATGAGAATCGTTGACCTATAATGCCGTTTGGCGATTCGTCTACTAATAAACGTGTTTAAATCAAGAAAATAACAGCAGAATATTTAATATAAGATTTCATGTTACAATAACTAAAATCATGAATGCAATCCTATTAACTCTACAACAAGAAAACTACAAAATAACATTAATTCAAAAACGGCTCATTATGCTGTTACATGCACAGAACTGTTTACACCGTGAATAACAGTCAAAATGTTGAACAACGTCGTAGTACTTCCTCGATCCTAAATCGAGAAATTTGAAACTACTATAGGATTGAGTATTCGAAACTGTGTATGACTTGATGGGGAATCCCAAATACCGGCAGCTGACCACATAGAACAGAGAGGTTAGAATTCTGCATAGTTTTGGACAGTCATGAGATAGTGAAACTCTGTAGAATAACAATCACCTGCTTTACAGCTTTAGCAGTTGAAAGTACAAAGCATTACGATCACATAATAATAAGCACGATACTAAAACAACAAGGCACAGTTTTTCTAAAAGTGGAGGATAGAACGGACTAAAAGAATATCCAGTTTTTTCTAGTTTTTACGATACATCATTGTATGTACAAAAAAATTTCGTCGTTCACAAATCAGTTTTCATGGAACAATTCTACGTTTACCTTCTCTATGGGATTTTTTAGGGCGGAAACTGTGCAGAGAGAATATAAAACTGCTGCAAAGAACATAGTACGACTATCTCAAAATCGATATTTTTTTACTGTTGTTTTATTCTGAAGTTACGATGTATAACTTACATCAGGGAATGACAGAAAAAGAAAACATTGGCCGTATATTGATTTACTTTTTGATTAAAGATGTTTCAACTGATCTAAGCATTCATAGTGCCGTTGAAACATCTGGAGCGGCAAATTTTTTTGGTCGTTTTAAAAGCCAATTCAAAATAACATTTAGCCATTTAAATTTCTTAATCGTCCTTAAGAAACTCCCCTACGAGCAAGTTTAAGCGCTTTTTCTAGCATAGTCAATGACGTTATCTAGTTCACTTGTCTGTAATATAGTGTGTTCATACCTAAATACACATTTGCTTTTTTATAAAACTAAGTATATTTAACATAACTGAAAGATATTTTTGTAAAACCATTTTACAAAATGTTTTACAATTACATTCCGTAAATGTTGATGACTATGCAAATAATACGGGTTTTTAAATGTAGCTGATTTCATTTGTTCACTTAAACTGTATCTTTTCTAACTTTTGTGCATTTTAATGATCGGGATCTTGCATAACAACGTTACAAAAGAAAATATAGTTCATGTGTAATATTTTATGCACTATTTGAGAAGAATAACCATGAAGATAAAGAGATTCTGTAAACTGATCGGAGAAGGACATAGTTCAACTATGAATGCGTCGGAAAGATTTTTCCCTTAGTTTGGTCTCTCCCTCTCTCGGCAACTACTGTGCACTCACCTTGTAAAATACTTCATTTTTTGTAAGAAAAAAGTTGTATGTATGTGTGAAGAGAAATGTTCCAGTCTACATGTGCAACGGTCATTCTGTCTTCTTCTAAAAGCATTGTTATATACAATATACGGGTATATTGAACCCTCTTCTCTTTCTAATCATTTCTATTTTACCTATCACCCAATCAAAGTAAAAGATGACATAAACAAATAAAAATAAACAATGAACACTTACAAACAGTTTCGCATGAAAAATCCTATTTTCGACAACATTTAACGTTAACCTGCGTACGTACGTTAACCTTAAACGTAAAGTTAACGTTAAATTAACGTCAATGTAATAGTTACGAATACCAAAAGTGTAACTATCTGTATGATCAAATCTATCACTACACTAATGTGTAGTGGAAATATCTGATTGTACAAAGTTTATTCATTAACGAAGTCTAATTTCTTTCGAAAAAAATGAAAAGTTCGGCATGTAGAAATTTGTTGATATTAGAGTAAACGGCTCAGTTTAACGTTTAGTTCCATCCTAAAAGTTCAGCATTTGGAAATAACACTTGTATACGATTATCACATAACCCACGGTATTCGAACGAACGTGGGTCAAGATGGACACGTCTGATACGGTTACATATTGATTTTAATGGTTGAAAAGAATCGTTTAATTTTTTCAATATATCTGACACTACACTGTGTCGTATGTATAATACTAGAATGTTTGGTGTCATTAATAATAGTCGTTTGAAATATTTAAATTTTAATTGATTTAAAAGAAACACTACGAAAACGATGTTTTCCATGATCAATTCATTACTCAGTAAATTATCACTTACAGAAGGAATAGGAGCTATGACAAATATTAGTTTTGTTGCTCTTGGAAATGATTTTTGAATAATCTGGAATAATTCTAACGTATAGGGAGCTGTATTATCATATAAAGTAATTTGTTTCGTTTTGTTTTGTTTACTGTGTAATGAAATATCATCATTGATATTTGATCGATAATTCACTAGATCATTTGAAACATACAGAGTTTATTGAACATAAAGGGTAACGAAAATACACAATATTGATTACATAGCGGTTGATTAAAACATAAAATCGAATAATTATTATCAATCCAGTAAGATGATTTGTATGTTTGGATATAATCGTCTATGTTCAATGCGTTATCGACAACTGGAATTCGAAAACAAAAATGAAACACTTTCAGTTTTGTTAGGGTTGATAATAACTTTTTTTCTAAACGTTCACCATCAATAAATTGATCAATATATAAATTCAATGATAAGTATTCAAGATTAGATCAATAATGAGATAATAACAATTCTAAATAATCATACTTAGCACCGAAAATAGAGTAGA